GACTCCATAGATCTCATGCATCAAGTAACGTTCAGCCTGAAAAGGTATCAGCTCGCGTTCAGAAACGTACTGCCGTGTGATACTTACCAGACCCATTTGCGAGCGAGGCACAGGATCGAAGGTTTCGGCGCCGTCGTTGAGGTTTGCAAGCATGAACCGCGCGCAATTCCGTAGCTTGCGGTGCGCCTCAGCTGTGTTGGCAAGAACCTTCGGGCCTATGCTCATGTCGCGGCCGAAATCGACGCTGGCAGCCCAGAGTCTTAAGCAGTCCGCCCCATACGCGGGATCCTTCTTCAAGTCCTGCATGGGAGCAACGAAGTCAATACGAACGTTCACAACAGGGGCTCTATGCTCACCGGACCGCCGTTCACGATGGTAAGAGGACTGATGACGTTCCCCAGCGACTTGGCCATTTTCCGCCCTTGCGCGTCGAGTACGAAGCCATGTGTAACGACCTTCTTGTACGGCACGCCTAGTCCCTTGTCACCCGCCCCCAAAGACGTAAGGAGCAGACTTTGGAACCAGCCGCGGTGTTGATCACTTCCTTCAAGCACGACAGCCGCGGGAGCACCAAGCGCAGTCCACGCAGTGCCGGAGTCAAACCACACGTCCATCGTATCGCGGCTCTTCGTGTACTCCCCGCTAAGGCCGGGCGGGACGAATTCCGACGCGGGCGCATCCCACCAGTATCCAGTACCGTGCTTCTCGAGAACGCCGATGATGTGCTCGAGCGACTCGGGCGTCAGAAGCGCGTTCCCCTCCGAGTCGAATAGGGCGGGGATAGGCACGCCCCAGGTACGTTGACGGGAGATGCACCATTCTGACCGCTCGCGAATGAAGGACCGGAGGCGCGTCTCAGCTGCAGGCAGGCATGAGCGAAGGAACTTCAATGGTTGGCGCGACGTACAGCCCGCTGGGACGAATTGAACCTTGTCAAGCGCTGCGAACGCACGTTCTTTCAGATCATCGATGTTCGCAAACCACTGCGATGTCGCTCTGGTATACATAGGACAGTCAGTTACAACATCACAAGAAGGAAGAATAAATACGGACGTGACGATAGTGGGCTGCTTCGTCCGCCAGTCGTACGGATACGAGTGCGTAAACTTCTCAGATTTGACTAAGTGCCCGCGTTCTTGCAATGCATGGACGATGAGTGCCGTCCCCTTGCCCAGGACGAACTCTCCCTCCAGGCCGTCGACATCAGACCAGAGCTGCTTGACTTCGGCGGTGAAGTGGCCATCTGGCCCGACTGGGCTCAGGATATTCTCACCGCGGGCACCGAGCATGCCGAGAGCCTGCATGACCAGATAGTCGTCCTGTGCGTGGCCGGCGGCACTATGCACGAGACCTGTGCCTTTGTCGGCTTTGACGTGCGGAGAATGGATGAGCGGCTGCGACGGGCGAGCACTGAACAGAGGGCGGTAACGAGTACCGACAAGGTCTTTGCCTGGACGCACGTCAGACCTGTTGTCAATGTGTAGCAGGGCGTCGTAACTACATACCATGGATGGTAGCAAGGACCTCTATCTCGCCGATGATGGGTTCGGCCTTGGACTGAAGCAGGAGATACAAGTCCTGAGTCTCTGTACGGCGCAGCAGAGCGTATTCGAGGTCGTTATGCACTGCGATAGCCTGGTACGACAGACGTCAACGTCGAGAAGGCCGATCCCGAATGAAATGAACTCACCATGTTGGACGGCAATGTCCACGGAGTGGTCGTCCATACGAGCAGGCGAGGGACACCATGAGCAGTCACGAGCTCGCCCAGCTTCGGCGTAAGTGCATCCAAGTCTAGGTTGAATGCGACGTAGACGGCTGTCGACTTATGCTTGTCATTGTACTCGAGTTCCGCCTCTGCCAGGGCTGTCCTGGATGACGGCGACCAGTGGACAGGACGGTAGTGACGGCTGATGAGGCCGCATTTGACCATCTCCTGAAACGCACGGAGCTGACGGATCTCGTAGGCGTGATCTATTCGTGTGTGAGCGCCGCTCATGCTAGGTCGAATGCCACTGACCCATGGTCCTATATGTCGTCTCGTCGGACCAGTTGGCCATAAGCCCGAACTGGCGCATCTCGTTGCGCTGACTGGTAACCTCTCGAAGCGCGACCTTGCGTGCTTCTGCTCGGATGACGTGGGGCTCGAGCTCGTGAGCCTTTGCCTGTGAAACGAGTCAGTGCATGACTGTTAATGTGCATTACGGACGCACACCGAGCTCTCCAAGAGCCTTATTCTCAATGGGGAGTCCATGGCAATCCCATCCTGGTACATGCCTGCAATGTGTTCAGACGTGAAAGTGGGAGGGTGAATGGGTGAGCGTACTGGACACGGCGACCGTTCAGGACCTGGAAACGCAGGATGGTGTCCTTGAGAATCTTATTGAGCGCATGGCCTGGGGTTGGTTGAGAGAAAGAGTCTAAGCGAGAGATCCAAGAGCTGACCCATATGCAGACTGCCATTCGCGTACGGTGGGCCGTCCTGGAGAACGAACGGGTCGCCTTTCAGATTCTCAGACTGCAGCGATGCGTGTCAGACGCGAGAGCGACGCGTCTATGAGCGAATTAGAACGCGCCTGCCACTTGTAGAGGTCATCTGTGGTTTTGGCAACGTAGGGCAGCTCGCCGTTGTCGCGCGTTGTCCAGAGCGGGAACTTGGTTTTTGGGAGATAGAGCGTGTCCTTGTACGCCATCGCAGCAGCAGCGCGTAGTACAGAACGCGTGCATCGCATCAGCCCCTTTATAGTCCAACGCCCAACGTGACTTGGTTCACTGACTCGACGCGCTCTAGCTGCTGGAAGTCGGAGGCAAACACCGATAGCTCCTTGCTTCCGACCCTCACATCGAGGCTGTTCCGATGTGCACGCGCGCACGTCTCCTGTTAGCCACGGCGCAGGATCCGGACGTGTAGGTCTGGCAGACAGCTGTCCATCAGGATCTGTCTTAGTCTAGCAGCGCGCACTACCTTACCGGGACCGTCGTGTCATCCTGATATAGGACTTCTCCGCCTCAGCCTTCCCAGCACCGTTCACGAATGCTTTACAGGGGTTTCGCCAATTCAAACCATCCTCGGGTCCTCGTCTACGTTCTGTGACTTGCCATCTGTGGTCTACGCCACCCCTGCGTCTCGATGTGCACTTTGACCTGGAAGTCGGCCGCGAACAGTCATAAAGGACCCTTCAGATCCTCGTGGGATGCCGGTCCAATCTGCTTCAGGTCTGCAGTGCTTGCGGACCGTGTGACGCGCTCTATAGACTGCGTACGGACGGAGACGGCGGAATATATACGGGGAGGGGACGGCCAGTCCTGTCCATCTTGCCATGGCCGCCCTTCTCCTCCCATCACTCCTTTTTGCTTTCGTCGCCCGCGCTGTGAACGTGACGATTGACGATGCGAGCTCGAGCTGGTCGTACGCTCCCGCGGACAAGTTCTGTCATACTGGTTGCCGCAGCGAGCCCGATGCAGCCCGTGCATTCGGAGGCACGTGGCACGACTGTACTGTTGAATGTATATGCCACACCACGCCCTCTGCGACGCCAGCTGTATCTGACGAATGCCTGAAGGTACGGCAACCTTGACGTTCACGGGTACCGAGGTCTCCATCTATACCATCTGTCCACGTAGGTTTCCCCCTTTGCCTCACTCATACGCTCAAGTATCTACTCATACCCCTGACAGCCGCGCTTCCCGACGGGACTTACCTGGCAGATCTTACGTACGTGTTATCCTGAATCGCGTCCGCCCGAGTAGTAATTAATCCAATTCTTTCAGCTTCAGCGTCGATAACGGTCGAGGCACTGGCACTTTCAAGCAACCACAAGCATGCCCAGGCTTTGCATATAATCAACAGGTCTACAGCATCAAGGTAAATTCACAAATCGGTCCGCATGCAAGGATACTCAGCGGTTGTTAAGGGTCTCTCACTCGGGCAGCATACAATTGTTGTCACGAACCATCCGTCCAACGACCCATTGCAGCTCAACACCAGCAAGTGAGTATTACCGAACCATCCTTAACGTGCGTAGTCTAACTGAAGTCCAGCCTGCTCCTCGATTACGCTGTTATCGATGACGGGACCTCCGCGCAACCATCATCCTCGCCCACCTCGAGCCCAGCTGCATCACAGCCAGCCTCGCCTCCATCGTCGCCAGCGGGTTCAACTTCTCCCGTCCAATCGCCAGCCGGTTCAACTTCTCCTGCCCAATCGCCAGCGGGTTCAACTTCTCCCGTCCAATCGCCCGGCACTACATCTACTGCAAGGTCGACGGGAACACCCCCACCTCCGACGCCATCGTCCGGGGCCACCGGTGTCCCTCAATCGTCTCAGAGTTCGCCTTTGACGTCCCCCGGCGTGCCGTCATCGAACAACACAGGACCGACTGAGCCTGTTGCCACCAACTCTGCCGGGCATGGGCATAAACACTCCATCCTCATCGTCGCAATCACCGTCCCCGTAGTCGCAGCTATCCTGGCTGCAGCAGGACTTGGATGGCTCATTCCGCGCTGGCGCCGCAAACGCTCCGAGTCCAGCTCTCAACCTGCCGGTGCGTTGTGTCAATTTATCGATTAGTCTGCCTCATATCTGAGTCTCAGGTGTGACACCGCTATGGACGACGGCTCCATCCCAAAGCGACGATTATAGCTATCTGTCATCCCCAGTCACTGGCATGGGTCAGTCTATGGCTGGAACAGATGGCTCGGCGCGTGAAGACAAGATCAATCAGTGGAATAATGAGCGCGCTCCTCCGGCATACACTCATTAGTATTTGTGAATTCCTTGTGTATGCAGTGTGGTCTCATCGTATTCAATTCAACGTGATCTCATTGCACTCAGGCTCGTATAGGGTATGAACTCACGAGGAGATCAGTGTATTTTACTGACGAGTTCCACGAGAGCTTCGGTGTTCAGCATGAGCACCTACCTAGTAGTACTAATACCAGACCGCGAGTGAGAGGCATGGCTATTGCTTGATATGTATAATAGGGTTCAAGTCTGCTCTGGCTGGATGGTCAAACGGAATGACGTCCCTTTAAATCTTTTCGGGAAAGGACAGGTTCAACTCCTGTACTGGCCAACCAACATTCACTTTTGGCACCATCCCATGCGTCGTCAAATGTTCACAGTAAGCATGCGTATATCCTTGCTTCTTCGGTGCAAGAACATACATTACTATTGGCATGTCGAATTGAAGATTACGGTTCCGGAGGCAATACGCAGTGTACACAGGTCCGCGGACATCCGATGAGAGCTACAGCGTAGTGTTGTTCCGCTCGAAAATACTTCTTTAGAACGCAGCCCGAGCCGCCTCGCATACGCAGTCACTCCCTAGCAGAGGCGGAATCTGACGAAGTCTCCTCGGTCACAATCACCGGACGATGCACTGGGCACTGCCGAGGCTAATGCGCCAACTTCAACCGGGAGTGGTGCCGAATCACGAAGCGGTCTTCGTAGTATTACTTATCACTTGTACTCCCTCTCTGAGTTGTGCGAAGGTGACGGAGTCGAGAAGAAGTTAACTAGAAGGGCGTTAGTCTCATACTAAAACCCTTCGGGTTAACTATCCTCCGTTCAGAACGCCACCGTTCGACAATTGGCGGTCAGCGCGCGTGCGACGTCATGCACGCGTCGTACTCGACTTAAAAGAGTGGTGCTCGCGCTTCGTCTTGAGCTCATCAGCGCGTACCCTCGTACCAAGTTCGCCTACGGATCCGACAACATGCGCCTCACGCTTGCTGGATGGAGTAAAAATGCCCGAGCAGACCTCGTTGCTGCTTGGTTTGAGTTTCTGGGCACGTGGTACGTGCAGCGTGTATTTCAAATTCGTGTTGTGCTTTCCCCCATCTCATTAGCATTTCGAATGCGCAGTGTCTTCCTCATCCTAGGCCTCGGAACCGCACAGTCCGTTTCGTACCTCAACACCACTGTACGTCCCTTACCTCGTGGCCTAACCTGCCTATTAATCTCAGTTAGAAAAATCCCGCGGCCGACACGTCCAATACGGCTGACTTCATGTACATTTCGTGCGGCTTTGGATTCGCACTCCTCGTCGCTGCATGGCTGTTCTTTCGCGTCACGGGCGCGCTGTTCAACCCCAATATCGCGACTGCCCTCCTCCTCATTGGCGTCATCAAGCCACTTCGGTGGCTGCTTTTCGTCATCGCGCATGTACGTGTGGAGGTATACCCTGACCCAGTGATTCTTCTCGACTGAACTCAGTGTTGCAGCTCGTGGGCTCTATCTGCGCCGCAGCGGTCGTACAGGGCCTCATGCCTGGTCCTCCCGCAGTCAAGTGCGTCCCGTCATTATACGAGCACGAGGCGAGAGCGGCGGTTCCGCCGCTGAGACTAATACAAATTGCAGCACAGTTCCAAGCCCACTGATCAACAAGGCGCAAGCGTTGTTCATAGAGATGTTCGTGACTGCATTCGTACGTTCTTCCACGTTGCCTCTCCGAGTCTCGGTGCCGCTTACTCGTCCCCACCTCGAAACAGCTCACCTTCGCCGTCCTCATGCTAGCCGTAGAGAAACACCGCACAACGCCCTTCGCACCCGTCGGCGTCGGAATCACGCTATTCATCTGCGAACTCTGGAGCATACCCCTCACCGGCGGCTCCGTCAACACAGCACGCAGCTTCGGTCCCGCGGTCCTCACGAATTTCGACAAGACGCACTGGATATACTGGCTTGGTCCTACGATGGGCGCGCTCCTCGCTACGGCCGTATACGTTCTCGCGAAGCGCCACGAATATTGGACTCTTGCGCCCGACCAGGATGCTGTGGATGAGGAGAAAAGCCCAGCGGACGTCCCGCTGGCTCGAAAGAGTGAGACTGCTGATCCTCTGTCTGCCGCCGAGAATGGGAGACTCGAAAATCGGGCCACGGTCCCTTGAGGTGACTTGTTAGATCTTGTGCCCTAAGGATTACTAAGAATTCCTCGCAATTGCTTTGAAATCACTGTACCACTACTACATACAATCGATGTGTCTCGCTTCGCTTTCTTCTCGACAGATGTGACTCTAGCTTCGCTGCACTACAGTACTTACCGATCTTACGTTGCTTGAACAGCCACTGCATCACCGAGCTCTTGTACACTCCAGACCTTTGAACTTTCCACACTATCCCGTTGGTTTGATTTCTTAGCAATCGTGACGCGTTATACTACTTACTACGCTACAGCACATGGAGGGTTACGGAGAGATGGGGTGACAGCAAAAAAGGGTTCGTGCGACGAGAAGGGGAAGGAGGCCAAAGCCGCCCGGGCTTTTTTCGCGCTCGGACGGGGCATGCAAGATTCTAGAAGGGGACTGGACGGGGGGGATCTAGTGGTCGTCCTCTTCGACGCCGGACGACTCGGGCGTCATGTACATCTCCTGCGCACGAATGACCTTGAGCTTCTGGCTCGGCGGGACGGCCTTCTCAGATTCGAGCTCGAGCCCTCCTCGCAGGACACCTACGCGCATCATCGCCAACAGCTGAGAGGAAACCCGTTAGAAAAAGAACGATGGGAGGGTACGAGGAGGGAACGTACATTGTGCGCAGCGTTTGAGTGGTCATATACACCGCCGAAGAACGGTACTGTTGCGTCCTTGCCGATGTTCTTGCCGAGCAGATGGCGGCCACCAGGGTGCTCGTCGAGGAAGGACGCGACATCGTGGATAAAGCCAGCAACAACGATCAGCGGACGGTGCTTTGCCTGCTCCTGGACTGTAATATGCGCGTCAATAATCCGCATATATGCGCAGCGAGGTGAAGTGTAACGGACAAGACTCCCAAGAGATGACGGGGAGGTCGTTCGAGGATGCGGGCCAGACGATCTTTTCCTGAATCTCGCGCATTTTCTTGAGCTCCATCGTCAGCTGGCCCTTCTTGATCTCGTTGTCGGGGAACGTCTTGAGCTGCGTCGCGAGCCCGACGAGTTGGCACGCCTTGATGAACCACTTTGTAGGGTCGTACTGGAACCACTTGATCGCGTTGCGGTAGTCGGACGGGAACTCGTGGTGGAAGTTGTGGTAGCCCTCGCCGATCGTAACGAGCGCAGTCACGAAGTGGTCGCGGGGGGTATGCTTGTCGTCGAACGGCGTCTCGCCCAGCCAGTGCGCGAGCGAGTTGACGCAGAATGTGGACTGTAACGCGATCACCATCAGCAATCCGGATAGGGGGATCGTAGGATCAGACGCACGTGGTGGACAAAGCACAGACGCGCGGCACCAGCGAAGAAGTAGCCGCCCTTCCAGTCGCCCCAGCCGAGACCAGCGACGAGGGTGGGTACGACGAATCCCATGGCGAGGAGGAGGACGACGTAGTTGCGGTGCTGCCAGGCGACGATGGGGTTCTTGCTCAGATCGGAAATGTCCGCGACGCCGGGCTTGCGACGGGGAAGGAGGACCATCCAGCCGACGTGGGACCAGAGGAGGCCCTTGTGTGCCGAGTAGGGGTCGAGATCGGTGTCGGTGTAACGGTGGTGAGCACGGTGGCCGCGGGACCACCAGCGGATGGAGCCCTCAACGGCGCCGGCGCCGGCGAGTGCAAGGAACCATTCGAGCGGCTTGGAGGCGTTGTAGGAACGGTGAGCCCAGAGACGGTGGTAGCCTGGACATGGATGTGAGAACGCATGACGCAGAGACTTGGAGTGTGCCTAACCTGCTGTGATGCCTGTGCACGCGACCCAGAGTCAGAGTTTTCCGGTAGAGTGGGGTGAGAACTTACCGAGACCGGTGATGTAGTAGTAGACGACGCTCCAGATTGCGGTCTTGAGGGAGAGAGTTGTAGTGCAGAAACCGTAGATGGCGACGGCGGGGGTGATGGTGAGAATTGCGAGCGAGAGCCAGTTGATCTCCCGGTAGAAGTTGTTCCAGGTGATGGGCGGGAGGGCCTTGGTGCTCTTGAGGGTGTGCTCGACGTAGTTCTCCGGCACGTTCTCGGACTTTCTCGTCGCCGCCGGGAGCGCGACCTCTGAGCGGGGCGGGGTCATGGGCGGTGTGAGGGCGACGTGCTCGTCATCGAAGACGGGCTTTGTGACTGTCGAGTCTGTGCGGACGTGGATTGCGGCCATCGCGCTCGTCGTTGTCTAGGGGGGAAAGTCCGGGAGATGTGGGCTGTGGGACGCGTTCCTTATATACGTTGGGGGCCGCTCTGTTCATTGGGGCGCGTTTACCTCCGGGCTTGGGGAAAGGCCCCGCTCGTCCCTCCCCAAGACCGCATCCGGCTCGAGCACGCGCAGAGGAATCACGAGACCTGGCTGAGAGCGCGGGAAGGTCCACGGAGGGCCGATGCAAGTGGCTGCAGAAAGTCGGGACTCTCTGGGGCAAACATAGACGCCCGTCGGAACCAGTTGGCACCCCTCTCACGTGCAGCCGCGGGATCAATAAAACGCGCTCCCTAAATTCATCCGGCGCGTTTCAAGCCCCGCCATCCGTCCCTTTCCCTCCTCCCGCGATGAGCGCCCCCAAGACCCCCGCCTCCAGGTCCACGCGCGTCGCCGCCTCGCCCGCCACGCCCTTCACGCCCTTCAGCGCCCGCTACGCCTTCTCCTCGCCGGCCTACTCGACGCCCGCCAGCTCGCTCAACCCGTCCCCCGTCGTCTACAAGCCCAAGTCTTCCGTCGCCGACATCACACACAACTGGCGCGACCGCTCGCCGATCGTCAAGCGTCTCCCGCTCGTGCAGGAGGAAGACGGTACGCATATATTCTACTTTTTTCCCCTTGGTCGTCGCTGACGCGTTCAAGTCCTTTTGCCTGCAGCCAACTTCAACCACGTTCACATCCACAACGACCCGTTCACCACCTCTGACTCCTCGGCCTCCGATGAAGACCTGGGTCTCGTAGCGTCCATGGGCGACATCCGCGTCTCGCTTCCCAGGGCTGCTGCCGTCCGCCCTCAGCCCGCGCCTCGTTCCCTGTTCGACGCGCTCGATATGCCTGCTGCTCCTACAACTCCCGCTCATCAAGTTTCTATTGCTCGCTCGCTTCGCCCTTCCCTTGCTCAACCAGTGCGTCGCATTTTTCTTTTCAATCACATGATGCTGACTGCCGTCCAGCCCTCGCTTGCTCAACCACAGAATAACCCTGCATGC